AAGAGCCTCTTGTGGCTGAAGAAATAGATGGTTCAGAAGTTAAGAGCACTGGCCACACTTCCAGAGCTCCTGAGTTCAGTTCCCAGAAGCACGGTGGCTCACAACCATCTGTAGTGAGATCTGGTGCCCTCTTCTGGTGTGCATGCATACATGCAGGCAGAACACAGTATACGCAATAAGCAGATACTGAGCAAGTGCTATACCAGTTCAATTTAGACTCGTTTTCTCATAGTCCTAAAGAACATGGAACAAAAACCCTAGCTTTTACCATGGAAGGAAGGAGGAAGAGAAAGGAGAAGAGTAAGCAAACTGGGTGAACATGCATTACCAGTATCCCACCCGAGATGACCACTCAGACAGTTTGTGATTAATTGAAATTCTTTATTCCAGGATAATGGAACTAAACTCAAGTATTTGGGCACCCAATAATAGCCCCCAGTGTTCACAGCACAAGGTTATTGAAAGCAAAATCCACATCTCAGTGGGCAGCTACAGGGGAGAGGTCACAAAGCAGTCATTAAGATAAGCAGTTACCTGGAGGGGATCCTGCATAGGAATGCATAGTTTAATAGTTACAAAGATAAGCAGTTACCAGGAGGGGTCCGGCAGTCATGCAGTTTAACAGTCATTAAGATAAACAGTTACCTGGAGGGGATCCTGAACCGGCAGGCAGTTTAAAAGAAGCTAAGATAAGCAGATACCAGGAGGGGGTCCTGCATAGGCATGCGGCAGATGAACAGACACTAAGATAAGCAGACACCTGGAGGGGGTCCTGAACCCTGCAGGCAGTTTAACAGAAGCTAAGATAAGCAGATACCGGGAGGGGGTCCTGCATAGGCATGTGCAGATGAACAGTCACTAAGATAAGCAGACACCTGGAGGGGGTCCTGAATGGGCGGGCAGGCAGTTTAAACCGAAGGTAAGATAAGTTAGCTAGGACATCCTGACCTTGGGTTTCTAGAATACAGTTGAGCAGTTTTCCATGGGGCTCTCCATCACGGAAATCAAATTCTATTTAAACCTGGAATGGCCTCAGCAGGAATACAAGATGGAGGAATCTTTTTACTGTCTTGTCCAGTCACATATGTGTAATGCCAGCATCCCAGCACGAAGGAGACTAAGGACGTCTAGGGCTATAGATTAGTGTTAGGCTAGCCTGGTCGAACCCTATCTAAAACAAAGCAAAATAAAACACAATTTATGCTCTCTAGAGTCTTTGAGAGACTTGGAAATTTCTGCACAAGAAGTTTTAAACCCATCTAATCAAATTTATATCAGTTTAGAACTAAATAAACAGTATCACTCATACCCATGCCCAAATTCTAAGGAAACTTGAAAAAACAATCAAACAAGTGTGGCTAAGAAAGCATTCTTGTGCCTAACTATGTATACTCCAAACTCACAACTGGTCAGATAGTGCCCTCCAAAAGGGTCAGATTCAAGGACATTAGGACATGTACCATAAGTTGGTCAACAGTCTAAGGTTTGTCATGATATGAAGGTTTTCCACAAACAAGGGCAAAATGCCAAACTTCTATATAAATTTAAAATTGTGGGGGGAAAAAAGGTTTGGAATATAGCTCAGTGGTAGAACAATTGTCTAGCATGTGTGAAACTCTAGGTTCAATCCCTAGCACCACTTAATGAATAAATACACAAGTTAGGTATGGTGGTATATACTTATAATCTCATATTTGGGAGGCAGAGACACCAGGCACCGGATTGGAAGGGTAGCCTTATGTACAATAGCAACTTTGATGGCAACTTGTGTTACAGGATGCTATGTCTCAAAACAATAGACAAAAAAACAAAGAAACAAAAGTCAGCTAATGGAGTAATGGAAACATTAAAAAAAATACTACACTCCATGGAAGAATCATGACAGAGTAAAGATAAAGTTATGAACCAATTTGAAAAGAGATGACTCAAGAGCATAAGCAGAAACTATTCATCTGCAGTAGGGTAAACAGGATAAGGAAGTCAGTCAGCAGGAGAAAGCAAGAAAATGCTGGGAGAACAGGGTTGCAGAGTTATCTATGAGACTGTGAGGTCCAAAGACAGCCACATGATACCACTACAAGACTGGGTTGCCTTTCAAGGGTTTTTTTTTTTGTTTTCTTTTGTTTTTTACGAGACAGGGTTTCTCTGTATTGTTTGAGGCTGTCGGTCCAGCCCGGCCTCGAACTCATAGCGATCTGCCTGCCTCTGCCTCCCGAGTGCTGGGATTAAAGGCGTGCGCCACCACAGCCCAGCGCCTTTCAAGTTTTAAAACAATTAAATAACATAGGTTAGACTTACATAAACTGAACTATTTTAGAATGAAGCAATTTTGATTTATACATAGGGAGAAAAGATATTCACGTATAACAAACAATAGTTGAAAAGGTCCTAGACCTGAGAAATAGGAACTGTGACACCTAGTCTCAGGAGACACCACAACCCATGAGAAATCAAATTGAACAACTGAAGAGCAATAAGAGCTAAAGCACAGTGTATACAGAGAAAGGTGAAGGTAGCAAGAAGGCCATGTCCACAGATAACAAAAGCTCAAGTTAGAAGTGAAGGGAAAGTCTTAAGGAGATTGGAGGTTAAAGAGAAGGTATGAGAGCACTTGTCTGCAGTAGAAGCAGGGTGACATGTACAGAGAACCAGACACAGTCATGATCCTACACGAGGCACAACTTTTAGGCACTTAAGACTGTTCTTACGATGAAATGCGGATTGAGAGAAATACCCTTTCAAATGGTGATAGCTAATTTCAATTTTTAATCACTCCTGGACAGATGGAACATTAATTGAGGAATTGTCGCCATTAGATAGGCCTGTGGCCGTATCTGAGGGAAATTTCGTGATTGCTGAGCGATGCAGAAGGCGCTACCCCATTATAAGGAGGCCATTTCTAAGGAGGTGAGCCTGGGCTGTATCAGAAAGATGGCTGAGAAAAGCAGGGGAACAAGCCAGTTAGCATTCTTCCATGATCTCTTCGTTTCCTACCTCCAGGTTCCTGCCTTGACTTCAGTCTATGACAAGTTCTTATTTTTCTTTCTTTCTTTTTTTTTTTTTTTTTGGTCAGTGTTAATCACTGTAAGAGTAAGCAAACTAGGGCCAAAGGAATGTAGCTACTTAGAATTATACAGAAGTAATGAATCCCTTATACAGCATATCACATGATACTAATGACACAGGAAGTAGTGGAGTTCGCTAATTAATACCTGTGTTCGCTGAAATGAAAAAACCTGTGATATGGAAACAGGTCATCAGCAAAAAACTGGAGGGAAAAAACGGAGTAGATAAAAGCATCCTAGTTGAGCATGGTAACACCTCTAATCCTGGTTGAGTCTGAACACTCACAATAGTTTGGAGTCCACCTGAACTACTCAGTGAGTTCTAGGCCTCAGCTAAAGAACCAGAGCCTCAGAAAAGAAAACAAACAATTAAACAAAACAAACAAGCAAAAAACCTTCAACATTTTACAAAGGAGGGGCTGGAGAGATGCCTTATCAGTTAGGAGCACTTTCTGTTCTTACAAAGGACTCCAGTTCTAAGTGTCTAACACCCCACTTCTGACATTCTCTGGGCACTACCCACGTGATACTCTTACATACATGCAGGCAAAACAGTCATAGAAAATAAATGAATCTTTAAAAGTTATAGCAGAAGATTAGAGTCATGATCATTGAAAACATAAATGAGTCATGACCGTTAAAAACAAATACAGAAGTTATAAGAGAAAAAAGTAATAAAACGGGCATTGGCAAATGGCAGCCCCCACACAAATACAGTTCACGTGGTTATGTTTTGCCTATATGTTTTCATGCACCAACAGCAGAACCCATATAGCTCAGAAAAATGAAAGTATTATCATACCCAATATGAAAACTTTGCAAAGCTGAGCACACAATCAGAGAAAGAAGAACTGGGAGAATAGTACATTATGTTAGAAGCACAACACTGGAAGGAGATTCTGAAACTCAGTACTACTGAAATCCTCACAGGTACCTACCTGTAAGTGCACCTCCTAGCCCTGAAAGCTAGACATTAAGAAAATGGGGGCTGGAGAGAGCTCAGAAGGCAACAGCGCTAGTAATCAGTTCTTGCAAAGGACTTGAGTAAATTCCCAGCACCCACAGGAAGAAGGTATACAACCATATATAGCTCCAGTTCTAAGAAATCCAATGCCTTCTTCTGCCTTCCACATGTACCAGACACACATGAGATGTGCACACATATATGTAGGCAAACCACTAATACATATTAAATAAACTTTTTAAAAAGGAAAATGAAGCTGGGCAGTGGGGGCACATGCCTTTAATCCCAGAGTAAGTTTCAGGACAGCCAGGGATTCAGAGACACTCTGTCTCAAAAAACCAAACCAAATAATAATAATAATAATAATAATAATAATAATAATAATAAATAAGAACATTATTTACCACATACCAGAAATAAGACACAAAACATGGCACAAATTTATAATTCCTGTCATGGCGGTGGGGGTTAAATTAGGAGGATCACAAATTCAAAGACTGCCTGGGTTATAGTAGAGTGAGTTTAATAATAGCTTGTACAATGAGTTTAATAATAATCTGGGCAACCCATTTTGAGATCTCATCTCAAAATAAAATGTTAAAAGAGTATAAATATATATGAAGGCTAGGGATATAGCTGTTGGTGTGTGCTTGCCTTGTACATATGAGTCACGGTGTTACATCCCCAGAACCACTTTAAAAAAATGGTGGCCTGGCCTTTAATGTAGAAGTAGGAATGAGAAGTTCAAGGTCATCCTAGGCTACACAGTGAGTTTAAGGCCAGCATGGTCTATGTAAGATCCTGTTTCTTGGGGTAGGAAAGTGAATAGGTGAATAGGTTCAAAATATATAAAATTCCAAAACAATTAAAATAACATTTAAAAATTTCAAAGCAACATCAAAAATTATAAAAATAAATGGATTCTAAATTATAAACTACAGGAAATTAGGCATATTATTAGCGTCACATACCTGTAATCCTAGTACCTGGAAGGATAAGGCAGGAGGATTGTTAATTTGAGGTTGGACTGCAGTATGTAGCAAAACATTTTCTTAATTAAAAAAGGAAAACAAGCAAACAAAAACACTAAATATACAGGTTATAAGTCACAAAGAAAAATGATAGTTGATTGGGCTGGAGAGATGGCTCAGAGTTTAAGAGCACTGGCTGCTCTTCCAGAGGTCCTGAGTTCAATTCCCAGCAACCACATGGTGGCTCACAACCATCTATAATGAGATCTGGTGCCCTCTTCTGGAGTGCAGACAGAACACTGTATATGTAATAAATAAATCTTAAAAAAAAAAAGCCAAAAAAATAGCCAAAAGAAAAATGATACTTGAAATAGCTCCATTTGTAGGGTAGGTCAGACAAAATATCTGAAACATGAGAAAATAAATTTCAAAATGGGGCTAAGCCTAGTGGATCAAGCCTTAATCCCAGCCTTTAGGAGACTAAGACAAGAGAATTGCCATGAGTTTGTGGCCAGCATGGAATACATACTCAGACCCCAGAGGCCCTAGGCTAAGATACTTTGTATGAAAAACATGAATCAAATCAAACTAATTTATTGTCTCCCAAGCTATTTTCCATCCCATGTCAAAATAATAAAGTCTGGTCTACAGACAGCGCTAGGACAGCCAGGGCTACACAGAGAAAATCTGTCTTGAAAAAATGAAACCAACTAACCAAACAAAAGAAACTCAAATTATCTAACATATTTGAGACCATGGGCTCCATTCCTTGCACGGCAAAAGTAAAGGAGGACGAGAGAGATGGCTCAGTGGGTAAAGCCACTACTTACTAGTCATGTAAAATGATGGATTTGACTGGACCTATCTCTAACACCAGCCCCTGAAAGTGAGATGGAAAGTGGACAGTAAAACTGCCCTGAAGCTGCCAGAAAAACTAGGCAGGAGTGCACAGGAGCAAAACTGAGGACAAGAAAATAGCCCAAACAAAAGAAACTGCCTCAGTAAGAGAGAAGGAAAAAATACACTCTTGAAAGTTGTCCTTTTTCTGCTGAACACTATTGAATACAACAAATACTACAAAATAGCCAAAGGGAAAAAGAGTGGTTATTTTTTTCTTTCCTCCCCCCTTCCTTCCTTTGGGGGGGGTGGATGAGTGTAACTATGCAGTCCTGCCTGGATCCTCCTGGCTCAGCCTCCCCTGTGGTGGCATTACAGGCATGAGTCACTACACCAGCAAAATGTTTCTCCCACAGTCAATAATCACTTACCTAACAGAGTGAGATACCTGTTCCTTTGTCCACGGCTCCTGAGATATTCAGGGAAGCATTAACTCCTCAGAAATCTGAAATAGTCAAATGTGAGGATTGGCATAGTAAATCAAAGACAATGTTCCTAACTTAACTATTAGGACAGTGCTATAACCAAAGAAAAAAGTATGTATAATAAAATGTCCCCCACTGGCTGATGTGTTTGAATACTGGGTACCCAGCCAGGGGTGATTTGGTGGTAGTAGCAGTGTCCTAGCTGGGAGAAGTGGGAGAGTGGAAGAAAATCTTGGAGGGAAATAGTCCAGACTTACTATTTCTTGATTTTCTGCTTCAAGATGCAAAAAATAGTAGCCAAAGGTTGGCACAGCAGTAGACGAAGCATCAACCCATCCCCACTATGATGGACTTTATTTTCTGAAACTGTAAGTCAAACAAATCCTTCCATGGACTCGCAAGATGCCTCAGTGCATAAAAGTACTTGCTTTCAATGCTAAGCATTAAACTCCCATCCTCGGAACTTATATGGTAGAAGAAGAGAACCAATTTCCAACTCCACATATAAACCATGGAATGTACATGTTCACACAAAAATAAATGAAAAAAAAATCAAGATCCTTCCTCCCTTAAACTGTTCCCATCAGGTATTATTGTCAAAATAATAAGGCAGGTAGGGGTGGAAATATCGCTCAGTGGTTCAGCACTTATCTGAAAAAGAATACTAATCAGGGCAAAACCTCATCTAAACCGTTATCCTATTGGACTGATTCAGAGGCATCTCACAGTGCCTGTAACATAGTTCCTCACTGTGTTGTTTTCTTTTTATTGAAGATTGTTATAGGGCTGTAAGAAAATAAATGATGAAGCTGTAAGAGCAAAATGATGAGAGTAGTAGGCCAATGGTGGTGCACGCCTTTAATCCCAGCACTCGGGAGAGAGGCAGGCGGATCTCTGTTAAAGACCAGCCTGTTTGAAAAACCAAAAATAAAGAAAAAATAAGAAGATCAGAGTACATAGAAAACACTTAGCATGAGTTTCTTATATACTTACTAAAAAAGATTAGAATGTCCAGTTCACTTGCATAGATTAAAATTGGAATGATACAAAGATTGACATGTCTGCTGATCAAGAAAATACAAATATACAAATTCTCAAAATACTTCATATTTATACAAGTAAGTGAAGATGGCTTGGGATGCAACTCAACTGGTATAGTGCTTGGCTAACACACACTAAGGCCCTGGAATTCATCACCAGTACCACATAACTCAGGCAGTGGAAGCGGGAGTATCCAAAATTCAAACCATCTTCAACTATACAGCTGAAGTCAAGGACAGGACAAATATAGTCTCAGGACTCAGAAGATGGAAGAGATAGGAGCATCAGGGCATTCAGAGTCAATCTAGGTTAAGTAGGGACTTTAGGGACACTACTGAGAGACTATCTCAAAAACAAAAAGGAACACAGGACTAGGAATAGGATTATCTCAGAAGTAAGAATTACCTATCATGAATGAGGATGTAGATTCAATTTCTATTACCAAGGGAGTAGGGGTGGGTTCAGACAAAAACCAGCCAGGTGGTCGTGACACATCTTTAATCCCAGCGCTTGGGAGGTACAGGCATCATGAGGCTCTCTGTGAGTTCATGGCTAGCCTGGTCTATAGAGCTAATTCTATGACAGGTTCCAAAGCTACAGAGAAACCCTGTCTGGAAAAATAGAAAACAAACAAGAATCAAAAAACAAAGCAAAACAAAACTCATTTTTATTTCAAGATTAAGTAAGTAGGTTCAAGGCTGGAGAAACAATTCAGCAGTTGAGACCTACATGGCAGCTAATCAGCTGTAACTCCAGTTTAGCATATCCAAGGCCATCTTCTGGCTTTGTTAGGTACTGCATACATGTCTTAGATACTACATGCAGGCAAAACACTCTTACACATAAAATAAAAAGAAATCTTTTCCAAAAGAAAAAAAAAAAAGGAAGAGAAAGAAAAAGAAGGCAGAAGAAAATTCACAAGGCCTCAATCAATCGAGACAAAGAACTGCAGCTAAGTAAAGGGATGCTGAGAGCAGGGCTAAAGTCTTCCACGTTAAGATACATTCATTTAATATCTAAGCCAAACTGTCAGTCCTGAAAACATACACATGAGCAGTTTGTACTTAGGAACACACACACACACACACACACACACACACACACACACACACACACACACACACACACACACACCCCAGTTAAAGAAATAGAGGCAGGACAGTGGTGGCTCATAACTTCGGGGGCACAGGCATTCGGATCTGTGAGTTTGAGGCCAACCTGGTCTACAAAGCAAGGTCCATGAAAGCCAGGGTTTTTATGCTGAGAAACAGTCTCAGGAAAAAAACAAAAAACAGACAACAACAACAAAAACTCTCCAAAACCCACAAACCCTGAAAAGGCTGGGAAGTGGTAGCAAACACCTTTTATCCCACTACTCAGGAAGCAGGGTCAGGCAGAGGCCAACCTGGTACACAGAACAAGTTTTAGCATAGTCAGAGCCACACACAGAGAAACCCTGTGTCAAAAAACAAAAATGAAAAAAAAAGGCATAAATTAGAAGGAAGGCCGTAGAAATGAAAGCAAAAAATGAGTGTGGTGGCCCTCCACTAGCCATTACTTACAGAGCTGATTGGATACAGCAGGAACATTTGCCATTTACAAACAACCTGGGCAAATAACAAGATGGGACCACAAAAGAAAACAAATAACTCAGGTGGCTCAGTGGTTAAGGGGTCTGGCTAATCTTCCAAAGTATTCAAGGTTTGATGCACAGCACCCACAGGCATCTGCAACTCCAATTCCAAATGATCAGATACATACTTTTTACCCTCCCTGTGCACCAGGCATGCACATGGCACACATACATATGTGTGCAAAACACTCATACACATAATAAGTGAGACACTGTGTTTAAAAAAGCAAAATTAAAAAGATAATAAAAATAAAAATAATGACAGAGGTAGTATAGAAGAGAAACTGCTATGAAGGACGTTAGCAAGAAGAACAGTACTCTGTTGCTCACTGAGCCTGGGAGGGGAGGCATTCCTACATAGACTGCCCAATATGCTGGGGAAGGACAAAGGCAGTTATATAGGAACAAATCAAAACTTGCTTTCTGACTCGTGATCCCGGTAGGCAGTTCACTTTTACACATGAACTGTATATTTTCTAAAGAATTCAAGGAATTATACAGCAACATTCAAGGTTTAATGCATGTTTATTAAAGGCCAAATACCTGACGCATATTTGTGTGTGTATGTGTGTGTGTGTGTGTGTGTGTGTATGTATGTATATATGTATGTGGTATACCTATATGTATGTATATGCATGCATGGAAGGATTCAGGCATTATGCGGGCCTGTCCCTGTCACCTGGCAGAATGCACTCAGGCAGTACTCTGGTCAGCCCAGGGTTCCATGACTACTAGTCTACACGCAGATACAAAGGACTCCCGTAAAAGACAGACCCCTACCCACTTATCTCTTTTCCTGCTCTCTCTCCTGCTGTTGCCCTGGGGCACCCAGGACTTTTCCTGTCTTTCCTTTCCCCTCCCCTCCCCTTTCAAATAAAAACATCTCACTAAGCTCTGTCTGCCTGGCACATTTGTCCCTCACCTGCCATGGAATCCTTCAAAGTCCGCCAGGCACTTTATCATATCATTGGTGGACATGACTCGGCAGGTTTCCCCGGCATTTCCTCCTGCTGTTGGCAGTCTGAGAAATGGCGGGACCCTGTAAACTTCAACTTGGCCACTTTTCCAACTAAGGATCTCTGGATTCTTCCATCCCCACCACCACCACGCCTGGTAAGCCTGGCTCTTTCTCTCTACCTCTGCCATACTTCCATGAGTTAGGACTTGTATCCAGACCGTTGTCTCTTCGTTCTGGCCTGGTAAAATACCTCCATACAGGGTGACCACGCATATTTAGAGCTCTGGGAGCCCTGGTCCAATTTGTCTCTGATGCACCACAAAATCAGACTATGCCTCTCCTATGTGATCCTCCCTTAGTCTCTGGGATGCTGGAGATTATAGGCAGATGCCAGGGGCTCACAGATAGCGTCTGCTCAGGATGTTCTGAGAGTTTTTTATATTTACCCACCAATAAGGTTTTCAGGTATTATACCCTAGCACTGTCCATACCAATTGGTTCATTTGTTTCTCAGCCACATAAGGGTCTCTTGTTTTCTTGTTTTGTTTTGAGACAGGGTTTCTCTGTGGCTTTGGAGGCTGTCCTGGAACTAGCACTTGTAAACCAGGCTGGTCTCGAACTCACAGAGATCCGCCTGCCTCTGCCTCCCGATCTCTTGGGTTCTATAACCTAGCACCGTCCACACTGACTGGATCATTCGTCGTTTCTGAGACCTATGTGGGTCTTTTTGGATGTTGTTTCCCTTGGACTCTAGTGTCCTATTGGCTTCATGTATCTTTCTGCCTCACTTTTGGGAAATAAGCCAACAAAATTATATCTCAAAACTTTATGGGATCTTTCTAACTTCTGACAGTAACCTGTTTAAGGCAGCTGCTATCTTGACCGAAAGCAACCATGCAGCCTAGCTGGTGGTCCGCCCAGCCTGGACTGTAATAAATCAACCAGCTACCCCAGGATGTGGCAGTACCCCAGCTTTCTCAGGTCCCCTAAAGATAGTTGACAACCCCCAGGTCAGCAGGAAGTAGTCTTGTGAATCTGAGGCCCTTATTCCCTTACCCGCCACACCTAACTCCTTTCTAATAATAAAGGTGAGAATGTAAGAATTCAGTCATTATGCTGGCTTGTCCCTGTCACCATGCACTCAGGCAGTACCCTGGTCAACCCAGGGTTCCATGACTACTAGTCTGCACCAGATGCAAAGGACGACTTTTAAAGATGGACCCCTGCCCACTTATACTCTCTTTTCCCCACTCTCCCCCTGCTGTTGCCCTGGGGCAGACAGGACTTTCCTGTTTCCCCCTTCTCTTCTATCCTCTCTGTCTCTGTGACTCTTTGCCTCTTTTCTCTTTCCTTCCCCCTCCCTCCCCTTTCTAATAAAACTTCTCACTAAGCTGTGTCTGCCTGGCATATTTGTCCCCTACTGCAGTCACCCTTGCCTGCCATGGAATCTGCCAGGGTCCCCCATGCAAGAGTCCTACTCCATTATTCTCTACCTTATTCTTTGAGACAGGGTCTCTTACTGAACCTGAAGCAAACTTGGAGGTAGCAATCCCCACTGATCCTTGTGTCTCTCTCACCATTAACTGGGGTTACATGCTCTCATGGCCATGTCAGGCTTCGTTTTTAGATTTTATTTGTGTGTGTGTGTGTGTGTGTGTGTGTGTGTGTGTGTGTAGTTGGGCATGTGAGTCCATGGCGGTGAGAAAAGGTTACTAGATCCCCTGGAGTTGGAGTCATAGATGGCCTAACATGGATACCAGGACCAAGTTCTCATCCATTGCAAGAGCAGCAAGCATTTTTAACCTGCTGAGCCATCTCTCTAGTGCCCACACCTAGCTTTTTATGTAGACGCTGAGGACTGAAACTGCATAGCAAGTGTTCTTATCCAGTGAGCCATTTCCCTAGTTCCCAAAATTCTAACATTTGAAACTATAAAAGTAGGGCTATTGTATAGTGGTAGAGTGCTTATCTAGCATGCCTAAGGTTTTGGGTCCACACCCCAGTACTGCCAACAAAAAATTAAAAGAAAATGTCAAGATATCAAACCTTGTGACAAAGGTCTGTAATTGCCTTTAATTTCAACTACTTGGGAAGTTGAAAAAGGAAAAAAACAAGCTTAAGTTTGCTGGGGCTACAGAGTGAATTTAATACCAGCCTGGACAATTAAGTGACATCTCAGTCTCAAAATAAAAATTAACTAACTAAATAAATGGGTCACTGGTACAGTACCAGAGTCTGGTACCATGCAAAAGGTACCAGAGTCGATCTCTAGTACCACAAAAAAACAAAAATAAAAACAAACAAGCAAAAAACCACATTTGAGAAACTGAAATAACTGGGCACACTTTTAATCCCAGCACTTAAAGGGAAAGGCAGTCAAATTTCTTCAAGTTCAAGGCCAGCATGGTCTACAAAATAAGTTCTAGGACACCAGGTGTTTCACAGAGAAACCCTGTTTCAAAACACCAAAACAAAAACTTAATAGAAAATGGGGCAGGGGTTGGCAGGAGGTGCTGAAAAGATGACTCAGTGGTTAGATTCCCAGCACCAAAGTGATGGCTGAGAACTGTCTGTAACTCCACTCTACCATACATGCATGTAGTATCGGCACAGATGCAAGCAAAAACCCATACACATAAAATAAAAATAATTTCTAAGGACAGTGAGAGGGCTGTGGGTGTAGCTCAGTGGTTAGACATGCACATGAGCACCGATTTGGTCTTCAGCATTCTGGGAATGGTGGAGTGGCACTGGAACTAAGTTCAGTGAGAGGCTGTTTGCCTAACATGTGTTTGAAGATCTAGGATCAACATCCAGAACCACTGTGGGTGCTTAACATGAGGTCCTGTGTTAAATCATCAGCATGAGGGAGAAAATGGCAATGTGAACTATGCTTTTAAGGCCTAATTTAATTCTAACTAATCAGAAACCTGATTGTGGTTAGTACCCTTACTATCACCAGAGACTAACAACTTAAAAGAGGGGAAGGAAGGTTTTGACTCACAGTTTCAAAAGTTTCAGTCCATGGCCAACTGGCCCTGTTCCCTTCAGCCTATGGCAAGGAAGATCATCATGACAAAGAATATAAGGTAAAGTTCCAGGAGACCCAGGGCTACAGAGAAGCCTGGTCTCAACACCCCCCTCCCCAAAAGAAATGGCATTTCTAAGAGTCTCCCTAACCAGAAGTGAGATCAAAGTCAGCCTTTATTTTCCTACTTACCTTACTTACTGCGTTACCTTTATCACTGAGGGGAGAACCCTTCTCTTCTCTTTTGAGGTCACTCATTCATAGGATCTGGCAAACTCTACAACCTTTTTTCAAAGATACCTTCCCGAGGCAGAGATACAGGTCAGTGGTAGAGCAGTTGTTTAGTATGTCCATGATCCTGGGCTTGAGTCTAGCCAAAAGAAGAGCAACAAAAAGATTGTCAGCCGGGGCTGGAGAGATGGCTCAGAGGTTAAGAGCACTGGCTGCTCTTCCAGAGGTTCTGAGTTCAATTCCCAGCAACCACATGGTGGCTCACAACCAGTAATGAGATCTGGTGCCCTCTTCTGGCGTGCAGACATATATGGAGGCATGATGTTGTCATAATAAATAAATAAATCTTTAAAAAAAAAAAAAGATTGTCAGCCACTATCCACGATTTCCCACACTCAGCTAGATCAGCTATCATTTCATAAAGAGGCAATGGCAGGTATTAACAGTGGCAGAGATGGACTAGTGAATAGCTGTAATCCCAGCACTCAGGAGGTAGTAAAGGGATTGCCAACTTTGAGACTATGCTGGACTAAAGTTCCAGGTTAACCTGGACTACAGGGACCCTGTCAAATTTTTAAATGAAACAGAAAAAAAAAAACCAGTAGAAAGAAGAGAGGAAAACACAAGATACAATTTTCTTGTTACTGTAGCCTACGATGGCCTCAATCCTGCTGGGTTTATACCCACTCTGCTTGGCTAACTTCATTCAATGCAATTTCGTATCATGGAGGGGGAAATCCTGCTGGGTGGTGGAACATGCCTTTTATTCCAGCACTCCGCAAACAGGCATATGGATCTCTGAGTTCAAGGACAGCTTGGTCCACAGAGTGAATTCCAGGACAGCCAGAGATACAGAGAAAGCTTGTCTTGAAAAATCAAAACAGACAAATTTAAAAAAGGGGGGAGAATGATGATAATCTAATATAACATTTATAATACATTATACATTTAGTATTCAGCCCATTATCCTACCTCACAAAAAGGAATATATCTTAAGGGCAGGGCCTTGTTAATATCTAGAATAATATTGGGCACTTAGTAAGTACTTACTATATATTGAAAAAGGCTAGAAATCCCACATGGTGACTACTTTCCTTTTGTTACCAAATGAGAAACCTCACCAAAAGTATTAACAACTTACCAAGACTTTCTAATCCCCTCCCAAAGGTGTCTGTCCATGGAAACAATGATCCATCCTGGTGTGCTGGTGAATCTTGAGCAGGACAATCTGTGGGGCAGATCTTAAAAGTTTATCTTGACCAATGACAGAATTCTGGCTTCCCAGCAATCTGCATGTTCAACAAGCATCCCAGAGTGATTTGATATGAAATCGGATGTTATATCACAGTAGTTACCCTCATCAGGAAAGTATAATCTCATAAACTGTCATGGCCTGGGGCTTGTGCTGAGGCAGAAGGATTGACATGTCTTAGACCAGCCTGGGCTACATACTGAGTTCTTGACCACTTCGCCAACCCCTCAAAAATCCCAAGGTAATAATAATCTTTAAAATGATAAGGATTTCAGTGGACATTAAAATTTATTTTTATGTAGATAGGTTTGAATCAAATCTATATCTATAATCTTGGGATATTTCCAATTTCACCAACTATAAAAATAGAAAAAATGGGAAAAGGTTAGGTTTATTCCTTAGAATAGCTTGAATATTTTAATATATTTTCACATAATGGATAAATGTGAAGTAAATGTCTGATGCCTGCTAGAACCACCTTCTCATTAACTAGACAAGCCCAGTAAAACACTGAGCCACTTGCCAAGCTTTTATCATGATTTTAGACTACATTCTTAATAATTTCACTGGACCAAAGGGCTCAATTTATGTCTTCACAAGCAGCATAATTTGTGACAGCATACTCTAGGTTTGGAATCCAACTTTCATTTCTTTCCTCCCTTGGCACCCACATAGCCACACCAGCCTTCTCATTTCTCCCTCGCTCTACTCCCTCTATCCAGAGTAGTTTATTCCCTGGCACAACAAATGAATGAATAATTAAATACATTTAATGCAAATAACTAAAACCAGTATTTTTATACTTACTATACTTTTGTCTGTTAAAAGATGATTTATTTTTATTTTATGTGCATTGGTTATGTGCATGTACATCTGTGTGGAAGTGTCAAATTCCCTGCAACTGGAGTTACGGATAGTTGTGAGATACCATGTGGGTGCTAGGAATTGAACTTGGGTCCTTTGGAAAAGCAGTCAGTGCTCTTAACCACTGAATTATCTCTCCAGCCACTTTTTTTTGGGGGGGATTTTTTCAAAACAGGGTTTCTCTGTAGCTTTGGAGGCTGTCCTGGAACTCACTCTGTAGACCAGACTGACCTCAAACCGCCTGCCTCTGCCTCCTGAGTGCTGGTATTAAAGGCTTGCACCACCAACGCCCGGCACCCATTTTTTAAAAAATATTATCCCTTGACACTCTCATGCATGTATAATGTTTTGTTCATACTCCCTTACCTTCATCTCCTTTCTATGCTCCCTGTACACCTTCCCAGAAAAGTTAACTTTGGATAGGCAAGGTGGCATAGGTCTGTAGTCTCAGCATTCTGGAGACTGAGGCAGGAGGATTATATGGGAGGCTACAAAACAAGACTGTCTCAAAAACTACCTAAAGGCTAGAGGGCTGAGATCACGGGTAGAGTGCTTGCCAAGCACACATAAGACTGAAATTGACTTCGGGTAGAGGTACCAAGTAATTATACTGAATTGAAAATGAATGTGGACTCTAGACCTTGTACTCAAATCTGTTCTCTGTGGCTTCATTAGCCCTATCTTTGAGTGGGGGCCGGCTTTCTGTATCTGCAGTCTAATAACTTCCATTCCATATTGCTGATTAAAATAGCCCAACACAACATGTGATGGTATTTGTATGTTATCCCCAGCATACAGAAGGCTAAGACAAAAGGACTGAAAGTGATGGGCAGTGGCGCATGCCTTTAATCCCAGCACTCGGGAGGCAGAGACAGGTGGATCTCTGTGATTTCAAGGCCAGCCTGGACTACAGAGCGAGTTTCAAGACAGCCAGAGCAGTTACACAGAGAAACCCTGTCTGGAAAAACAAAAAACAAGCCAAAAAAAAAAAAAAAAAAAAAAAAAAAAGGACCGAAAGCTCAGGCCACTCTTAGCAACCTTATCTCAAAGGAACATAAACAGAGACCCTAAAAGGTACCAAACCTTCATTTAGTTATCAGGAGATGGTATGGGATTCACAACTCTTGGTTCTGGACAAACAAAACAAAAACAAAAAAGAAACATACAAACAAAAAACCCTGCTGCCTTTTCATAATTATATTACCTTTCCAGTTATTTAGCAGTAAATGAAAAACAGCAGTTGCTCTATCAGAAGTGGCTAGTCTCCTAATCTCCAAGACTCCCCAGTATGGGAGGTAAGATGTCAAAGGAAAAGCCAAAGAATCCCAAGTATTCATGGTTCTAAGGGGGCATCCTATTGCTAGTATGTTTACAGTTCCTGGGTGCTTACCGTAAATAGTAACCCAAAAATCTAGCAATTTGGCAAAATGCAGGTTATTGACTTGTCATTAAGTGTGGGTGGCACCAGTTAAAACTGATAGGCTTCTTCTGTCTTCATCAGAAGAAAGAAATCATCAGCCTAAACCTCAAGAAGGCCAGGTAGGTGTCAAATTTGAAGGGAAACCTGGTGTGCGGGCTGTCTAGGCGGTGATCGCCGCTGCTGTCATGGTTTGACCGCTGAACTGCATCGTCGCCGTGTTGCAGAATATGGGCATTGGCAAGAACGGAGACCTGCCCTGGCCTCTGCTCTGGAACGAATTCAAGTACTTCCAAAGAATGACTGCCACCTCCTCAGGTAAACAGAACCTGGTGATTATGGGATGGAAGACCTGGTTCTCCATTTCTGAGAAGAATCGACCTTTAAAGGACAGAATTAATATAGTTCTCAGCACAGAGCTCAAGGAGCTGCCACAAGGAGCTCATTTTCTTGCCAAAAGTCTGGACGATGCCTTAAAACTTATTGAACAACCAGAGTTAGCAGACAAAGTGAACATGGTTTGGATAGTTGGAGGCAGTTCTGTTTACAAGGAAGCCATGAATCAGCCATGCCATCAAGACTCTTTGTGACAAGGATCATGCAGGAATTTGAAAGTGACATGTTCCTCCCAGAAATTGATTTGGAGAAATATAAACTTCTTCCAGAGTACCCAGGGGTCCTTTCTGAAGTTCAGGAGGAAAAAGGTATCAAGTATAAATTTGAAGTCTATGAGAGGAAAGACTAACAGAAAGATGCTTGCTGTTGACTTCAAGTTCTACTGCTTTCCTCCTAACATGATGCATTTGTACAGGACCATGGAACTTGTGTTAACTTTAGATCTATGGGTTATTCTTTCTTTAGGGAGGAGTAGGTGGGAAGTATTTGTTTTGTGGTGCCAGAGATTGAACCTGGAAGGAACCCTGTGCATCCTGGGCAAATGCTGTACTCTAAGCTACACCCCAAAGCCATGCCTCAGCCCCTGTATAATTCTAAACAATTAGAATTGCTTTTCGTTTCCATTAATCTAACTAAGTTATATTAAACATACTCTAAGGAACACCACTTGCTATAAAGTTCTCAATGCCCTTCCCGTGCATCCTCAAGTGGCTCCCCAGCAGAGACCCTAAAGACATAGAGCCCCTGAGAGCATGAGCTGATATGGGGGCTCATAGAGATAGGAGTTAGATGGATAAGCCAAAGGGCAGAAATGAGTTTTAAACCACAGAGCTGGAACTCAGACTTTAAAAGAAAATTAGATCAAAGTAGAGACTGAATTATTCTGTGCACATCAGACTCTCGGCAGAGTTCTGTTCACTCAGACAGAAAATGGGTAAATTGAGGGCTCCATTGCGCTCCATGGAGATGGGAGCAGGTGGAGGATTATGTAAGGTCTGGAACATTTAACTTCTCCCTTTCTCGTCTTCAGTGAGATTCCAAGGGATACTGCAGTGACAGAACAAGAATAGGCTGCTTCTACCAAAAAAAAAGTTAAATAATGGCAAGCATAATAGCTGCTGTTAAGTATTTAGAGATAGGGGGCTGGAGAGATGGCTCAGCGGTTACGAGCACTGACTATTCTTCCAGAGGTCCTGATTTCAATTCCTGGCAACCACATGGTGGCTCACAACCACCTTGAATGAGATCTGGTACCCTCTGCAGAAGGCTGTATACACAATAAAGAAAGAAAAAAAGAATTCAGAGATAATGAATTGAGAATGGATATTGCTTGAAATGAAAATTAATAAGTTAGAAACGAACTAAACTTTATGAAGATGAAAAAAATGAAAATTAAAATGCCTTTCCTATCTCAGCAGGGTTTGTATCATCAGGCCAAAAAAAAGTTGTATTTTCTGACCTGCCTCATAAATTAATACAATCTTTTCTTAAAAAAAAAAGAAAGAAAAGGCCAGGCAGCAGAATCCTAGGGTTCAAGTTAAATAGTGTCACTATTACTTACCACCAGTCAAACACTACCAGTTTTCTTGTGTAATAGTGGCCAGAAACCCTGAGTGAAAGCTCTCTCACCATAAATGGGGGCAAGTCTGCTGCCTAGCAGACCTGGGGGCACAGAAGACACCTTAAAGAGTTTGAGCTCTCTCTTTATTAGGCAATCTAAAGCTGGTATTTACTACATTAATATCTGCGTAGTCATACACAGCTGCTGTTACTCAGTTATTATAATGTGTTTAACCCATAGAGCCAAGGGTGGGAGAAGGAATGTGGACATGACTGAACAGGAAAATAAATGTTAAGTATAAACTGTAGTCAAATGCCTATACTTGCCTAGTTGGCAGTGCCTTTCTCTTGGGGGTTAAAAAAAAAAAAGAGCTCCCTCTGCCATGCTCCAGGCCAGCTCTTTTCTAAATGACTATATTCGGCCTCCAAGTTCTGCAACCATCTCTATTTACTCCACTTCCGTTATGGTTAGTGCATTGAAGAGTAAAAGGACTTTGTCAGATGTAAAACCCCTAAAATTTTAAATCAAACCCTGCTTTAGTGAACAGATTTGTGTACCTATGCGCACTCAAGTCCAAGGCACTACCAACCAATAATAAAACCTCATCTCAGTGTGAGTAGAGACTGAGGATCTGAGTCAGTATTAAAGAGTACCAGGCTGGCTGGGTGATGACCACACACGCGTTTAATCTCAGCACTCAGGAGGCAGAGGAGGCGGATCACTGTGAGTTCAAGACCACCTGGCCTACAAGAGCTAGTTCCAGGACAGCCTCCAAAGCCACAGAGAAACCTTGTCTTGGAAAACCAAAAAAAATAAAAATAAAAAATAAAAAAATACCAGGTTGAATGTATACAAGGCCTTGTTCAACACCTTGACTTTGTAAAGTAAGAAAAACAAAGTCATCCATAATCCAAAAAGTCCCAACCATTTTTCTAACTACTGTCATATGTAAGTATAAACAGGAGGTCTGATTTTCATAGATTACTCCTGATTATGCTGCCTCCACTTTCCAGGTGTCAGGATTACAGGCATGGGCCACCATACTCCACTTATTACCATCTTTCTATTTATTTTCTTATAGAACTAATATTCCCTTTTCCCAGTGAGACGTCACTCCATACTCTTAGAGATTAATAAAGGAAAAGCTCTTTAATAGCACTCATCCAGAAAGGAGTCTACCTTAAATAGAGTTTACTAACTTACATATCCATCCCACCTTATGCTTACCCATTCCACAAATGCTATCATTCTTAAACCTCTCCCTGGTCCCAGTCCCAGGTTACAATTTGAATATAAACAGAGATTGAAGATTCAGTCTGGCCACTTGGGCAATGGGAAATTTACACAGCAAAGACAGTGCCAGGGTTATTTCTTTCTCTCTTTCTTTAGGATGTGGTGGTCGTGGTGTTCTTTTTGAGACAAGATTCAGGCTGGCCTTGAATTGGCCTCTGTCTCCTGAGTGCTGGGACATAAGGGATGTGTGCCACCCCTAACCACCTAGCCAGAATTATTTTTCTTTTTTTTCTGAATTATTTCTTAAATACACAAATGTTTTCTTTTTTAATATTTTTTATTATTTTAATTTTAAATAGCTTGTTTTACATGTCAATCCCAGTTCCCTCTCCCTCCCCTCCTCCCGCACGCCCCCCCACCCCCCATCCTCCCACCCTATTGCCAATTCCTTCCACATAGGGGATATCTAGAGTCTGTCATTTCACTCAGGGCAGGGTCCAGGCACTCCCCTAAGAGTCCAGGCTGAGAGAGCATCTCTCTTTGTGTTATGGACACAAGATGTCTGTTAGTATTCCAGGGATAAACACTGATCCACTGCTCAGGACCCCATAGGTAGCCCAGGCCTCCTCACTGACTCTCACATTCAGGGGGTCTGGATCAGTCCCATGCTGGCCTCCCAGCTGTCGGTCTGGGGTCCAAGAGCTCTCCCCCTGTTCGGATCAGCTGTCTCTGCTGGTTTTGCCAACCCATTCTTTGCCAATTTGCTCATCGTTCCTCTCTCTCTGTCGCTGGGTTCCATGGGTTCAGTTCAGTGTTTATCTGTGGGTGTTTGCCTCTGCTTCCATCAGTCACTGGATGAAGGCTCCAGGATGGTTATAGACATCAAGTTCACTATCAGGAATGGGCATTCGAGGTGGTCTCTCCATTGCTTATCTTGCCAGTTGGTGTCATCCCTTTACATCACTAGAGGTCACACTGGTGCCTGATCTGTCTTCTAACCTTACAAATGTTTTCTTTTCAAATACCCAGAGTGTTCAGAGTAACAAACAGAATTAAGCTTTTCAAGAGGTAACCTGGGACGTGAAAGGATAGGACTTAACTAACACTGTCTGTGATCCTGCACTGCTCCCTTGAGCTATTAGAGGCAAGCTCTTTGGGAATGCCCTAATATGGAGTTTAAGTCAGGATTGTCTCCTTTATTATGGAAACCAGCATTAAAAGATGGTCTATCCTAAACTAGGCGTTGGTGGCAAACGCCTTTAGGGAGGCAGAGGCAGGCAGATCTCTGTGAGTTCAAGACAAGCCTGGTCTACAGAGCGAGTTCCAGGACAGCCTACAAAGCAATACAGAGAAACCCTGTCTCAAAAAAGAAAAAAAAAAAAATCAATTACGGGGCTGGAGAGATGCCTGTTCTTCCAGAGGTACTGAGTTCAATTCCCAGCAACCACATGGTGGCTCACAACCATCTGTTATGAGATCTGGTGCCCTCTTCTGACATGCAGAACACTGTATACGTAATAAATAAAATCCTTTAAAAATTTTATTAAAAAAAAAAGATGGTCCATCCTAGTGAATAAACCGCCGGACATTAGTGGCACATGCCTTCAATCCCAGCACTCGGGAGGCAGAGGCAGGCGGATCTCTGTGAGTTTGAGGCCAGCCTGATCTACAAGAGCTAGTTCCAGGACAGCCTCCAAAGCCACAGAGAAACCCTGTCTCGAAAAACCAAAAAAAAAAAGATTATAGGGTTTCTGCCCCTCCATTTAAATTAAAATGATAAACACAGAGGTAACCAGAGCTCAAGATAAAAATAAACAGCATTATGGATTGTGTCTTTTTTTCTTTCCTTATTTTGTTTTACTTTTTTTTTAGAGACAAGGTTTTTCTGCTTAGCCCCAGCTGTGAAAATTGCCTGAACTCAAGAGATCCATATGGCCTTTGTCTGCTTCTGCCTACCTGGGAGTGGAGTGTACCACCTCCTGCTGGCTTTGAACTCTTACCTAGGAGTGAGGAGTGTACCACCTCCTGCTGGCTTTGAACTCTTACCTTGGAGTGAGGAGTGTACCACCTCCTGCTGGCTTTGAACTCTTTTCTAATTGATCAAAGGAAAACTAGTAGCAGGGCAAATTTAAAATCCTATTACTAGACTTTCAAATGCTAATTACACCTTCATTGGTATTTTATTTTAGCCTTTTATCCAGTAGGAACTTAGGGAACCATTTGCCCTAGAGGCAGAAAAAGAATGTACCTCTCTAGTAAAAGGTACAAAGGGTGTTTTAACACCTTTCCTTCCTTTTGCTATTTTTGGCAAACAATGAGCAGAAGTCATTTCTTTCAAAAGCAAAATGGTTGCTTATCCAGCTACTCTATCTAATCCTTTCTGGGTGAATACTGCTCTTAAGTATTTATTTAGGCTATGCTAATTAGTATTCCTCTCTGTTTGGAAGATACTGGTAAGAATGGAAAGAGGCTATTTTTCGGGCTGGAGAGATGGCTCAGAGGTTAAGAGCACTGGCTGCTCTTCCAGAGGTCCTGAGTTCAATTCCCAGCAACCATATGGTGGCTCACAACCATCTGTAATGAGATCTGGTACCGTCTTCTGGCGTGCAGGCAGAACATTGTATACATATTATTAATAAATAAATAAAATCTTAAAAAAAGAAGCTATTTTTCTCCACTTTTATGAATCAGATACAAGAGAATAAAACAGTAAGCTTATGTTTTATTGAGACAGGATTTCTCTGTGTAACAGCCGTAGCCCTGGCTGTCATGGAACTCACTCTGTAGACCAGGCTGGCCTCCAACTCACAGAGATCTGCTCGCCTGTCTCCTGAGTGCACCACCACCTCCTGGCACAGAAAGACTTTTAAAACCCAACAATTAGGGCCGGGCGTTGGTGGCGCAGGCCTTTAATCCCAGCACTCGGGAGGCAGAGGCAGGCGGATCACTGTCAATCGAGACCAGCCTGGTCTACCGAGCGAGTTCCAGGACAGGCTCCAAAGCCACAGGGAAACCCTGTCTCGAAAAACCAAAAAAAAAAAAAAAAACCAGTGAGGACCTGAAATAAAGTGGTGGAAGAAACCCAGCGAGCAGTTTGAAGAATAAAACTGTAAGGCCCATCCCCATTTCACTTCTAGTTTGTTTTTTAACTTTTTTACCTTTCTTACTTCTGACTTATAACCCTTTAACTATTTCCTGTAGCAAAATGAACACAACAGACTCTCAGGGAAAGCACCAAACAGTGCTTTTGCCTCGGGCTAGGGGCAGGTTAAAGTCTTATTAATATCCCACCGACTAGCAGGACAAATCTGAGTATGTGAATTACTTCACACTCTTGGCTTCTTTGGTTAAAAATTAGAAACTTAGATCAGGCCACCTCCTAGCACACCATCTGTGGTCTCCTATCTCTAGCTGCTAACTCGATTTGCTATGGCTCAACTAACTAACTGCTCCCGTGCCACAGATGAATCCAGTTCTTTCAGCAGCTCCTACAAGAAGAGCTGCTACTTGAAGGGCACCCAGGAGTGCTTCTACAAACAGGCTTTATACAAGCGCAGCCGTTGTGCATGAAGCAGAGACATCTCTGCAACTAGATATAGAAATTGTGTAGACCTGCACTTACAACCCGACCCCGTCTCCACACCTCTTTCTATAAAGCATGTAACTAATAATAAATGTTTTGACATGATTTAAAAAGGAAAGTCAGTGCATTAAAAAGTTAGGGCTGGAGAGATGGCTCTGGCAATTAAGAGCACTGGCTGCAATTCCCAGCACCCAAATTGTGGTTCACAACCTACCCTAACTCCAGTTCCAGGAGACCTCGTATGTTCTTCTGATATCAGCGGGCACTGAAGGAACATGGCACACACACTTGTAGGCAAAACACCCATACTCATAAAAATAAAGGTTAAAAAACAAAATCAACATAATTAATTGCCAGGCCAAGTAGCCCATGCTTGCAATCCTAGCACTTTGGAGGCTGGGACAGGAGGAACAGGAATTCAAGGCCAGACCCTATCTCAAGAAATACAGTCTTCTTTTCAAAGGAGGGGGTGGGTGATGATGTAGTTCAGCTGGTAACGCATTCACTTAACATTCAGGAAGCACTAGGTTACATTCCTTGCACTGAATAAAAACAAAACAGGAATGGTGGCACAGACCTGTAGTTCCAGCACTTGAGCAGAAGCATGGGATACGTTCAGTCATCCTCTGGTACATGTCAAGTTCAAAGGCAGACAGCTAGGGTTCTAAGCACCAGATCTAAACAAAACAAAACAAAAAAGCTTTAGTGCTCACCGCTAACATTAGGCACAGTTGCAAGGCATTAGGACAGCACTTGGCTAGCATGTCTAGCATGTACAAGGGCCTACTTTCCATCCCCTGGCATTGCTAAACCATCAACCCAACCGTAGAGACCAAAGTCCAAATATTTGCCTTAGCCTACTTTTCTTACTCCTACTTCCTACTCCTCCAAAGTCCTTCCTTTCTGCATTCTCACTGCAAAGTCATGGTATGGGCAGGGAGGAAAGTGGGAAGGCATCTAGGCTTGCTATGTCCACGTGCTTCAAGTCATTATTAAGGATATATTTTAAAGGGAAGGCAGGCCATCCTTTTGCAATGCACTAAATAAAACTACTCTTCCTGGAAGAAAACAAAAGGAAAATGAATTGTCTAGAGTTAGTGCTCAAAACTAGATCCTGAAGGACAATTAGTAACTATAAGACCCTGAGAACCCTCCTAGCATATCTAAAACAACAACAAAAAAGACTTGCCAAAAGCAACATTGAGCTTCTCCCCCTCACCACCATTTTTTTGGGAGAGGTTATTCTGTATGTATCACAGGGTAGCTTCAAACCTATGGTGATTCTCATGCCTCAGCTTTCAAAGGCTGTGATTACTAAATGGTAATGAATGTGTTTCTAAACCGATAAACAGAACCAGGTGGTAGGTAGTTCCACACACCTTTAGTCCTAGCAGAAACATGCATATCTCCGTGAGTTCGAGTCCAGCCAGGTGTATAGAGTGATTTCCAGCACAGACTCCAAAGCCAGATTAATCCTGTCTCGAAAAACAAAACAAAAGTTAAAATGATCTCTGGTGAAACATAAAACCTTAGCCAAAATATCCAGAGACAAAAATGTTTGGCTCATTGCCACAGAAAAGTATCTGCAAAAATGGGGATCCCAGGAGGTACATGGCTTTATACTATTTAAAGGGTGATTCTAGTAGTGACAGTGGCATTGGGGGCGTAGAAAGAGGAATGAAAAAAAAACAAAATGGAGCATTGGCAAACACCGTGCTGTTAGGATGATGTTCAGATCTAACTAACACCCAGGCCCCACACCAACGAAGCAAATGTCAGCAGTACCTACAGTAGAAACATGTAAATCCCAAGGCCTGAAATCCAAACACAAGAAAGCATTCTCTTGAAAATCCCTGAGAAAATAGATAACTAGAAAAAAAGTGTCTGCCATTTTGAAGAAGCAATTGACAGTTAACAACCCATAGAGATCACTTTAGCAGACACACAAATGTTTGTTGATGACTTATGTATTCATCCAGTAAATATTACTGAAGCCTACTAATATGCCTGAATGAGCTTTGCAAATGAAATTTCTCCTGCCTGCATGAATTCTACAGTTTAGAACATAGGAGAACAGGCATGTGCACAGACAGAACACAGTATGATAATAAGTGCTATAAGATTCATCAGGTTGTACTATAATAGCTGATGTAAACTTTCTTCCAGGATGTGCTTCTCCAGGCTTCTGGGAATTGTAACAACTGGAGAAGGGAAAAACCAGTGCACAAATCAAGTGTTAAATACTTTGTAAAATCGTGTGGCCATTTCATACAATTCCACATTTTCCTTAATTCCCACTCCTAGTTAGACTGCAAGAAATGCTGGCATGGGGTGGAACGCTTAAAGACAGACACAGAACTCGAAAAACAACGTTTTAAATCACCTCCGTAAAGCACGACACCCCTTGCCCAGCGTTCCTTTTATATTTCAGCCCTTCAAACCCACTGCATACAAGCCCTATTTAATACTCTCTACAGCTAGAAAAATGCTGAAAAGGGAGGTTACAACTAACTAGGTTAAAATCAGAGTAAGTAGTTGAAAGCAACCTGGCTCCTTTACCACCCCTCCCCACAATCCACAACCCAGGCCTATAATCCTGGTACTTGGGAGTCTGGGGTAGGACGACCTCCAAACTGGCAACCTGCCAGCATTACATAGGGAGCACCAGACTAGCTTGAGCCACCTTAGTGTTCCAAAAATAAGTAAAAGATAAATATACAATTAAGTAGACAATCCCAGCACTTGGGAGGCAGAGGTAGGCGGATCTCTGTGAGTTCGAGGCCAGCCTGGTCTACAAGAACTAGTTCCAGGACAGCCTCCAAAGCCACAGAGAAAACGTGTCTCGAAAAACCAAAAAACAAAACAAAACAAAACAAAAAACAAAGCAAGTTCGAGGCCAGCCTGGTCTACAGAGTGAGTTCCAGTACAGGCTCCAAAGCTACACAGAGAAACACTGTCTCGAAAAACCAAAACCAAAAAAACAGACTTAACATTTTCACTCCCTTTTTGAAAACTGGATAACTGTAAGAGTCTCTTTGAGGAGATTTTACCACTGTAAATAGTTATCCGGAAATCCCACCATCTGTCACAGGCACAGCAGCAAGAGCTGAAGGCAATTGCTTCAGCCTCTGGCGCCCTCACCCCAGTCCCTGTCTCGGCGCCGACGTCGTCATTTCCGTTTCGCGGGAAAAGAAGCTTCCTTAGGACGAGGGGGAGTGAGGGGAGGGAGGCTCAACCCGCGCATAACCTGAGACTACATTTCCCGAGGGGCCGTGGTGACAGAGGCCCTAGACACGATGTCACCCGGAAATGGATCCTGGGCCTTCAACTCGTGCGAGGAAGAGGTCTGGAGCCAAGAGAAGGTCCAGCACCCCGCTAGGGCTCTTTAGCAAAAACTAGTTTGCGGGCAGAACAACTTTACAGCTTTAAACCAGGATCAAATGCGAACAGCGTTTAGGAGGAGGGAGAAGACCTAGCGTTCACGTTCGTCTCGCCCATGTCGCTTGTTGGAAGTCAGCCAAGGCTCCAGCAGCCAGGCGGCATAACCTCACACAAGGGCGGGGGCGGGGGCGCGGGGGACAGGGGACAGACAATGCCAGAGAACAAAGAGTTACTTTCACGAGGTCACTGCTGACCCTCAGAATTCCATTTTGGGGGAAGGACTTTAAAGCTGAAACACCCAGAATAACCGTTGGAAAGCATCTCGAGTTTATTTCATGACCAAATTGTATATTTTAATCCAGACAAGTTGGGGAAATGTGCATTTTGAAAGATAAGCGGTGCCCGGTACTGCACACCCACAGTTCTGCAAGACTTTAAAAACAAATGCTCCAAATCCAGCCACAGTTCTGCAAGACTTAAAACAAATGCTCCAAATCCAGAGTATCCATCAGCAAAAGTTGAAATATCATTTAGACTTTTGCACAACTTTTAAAGCAGTGGCTCTCCCCTTTTATTAATTTCCCCTATTGGGGTTTAAAAATGAAACATTGTCAATTAAGTTAGTTGTCAGGATTAACTTCAGGGATGGTGGGGTTTCTGCTTTGGGATTTTTGTGATGAGGGAAATGGTACCCTGCCCTTCTTGATGGTGCTCTCTCGTTGTATGTTTACAATATTCTTCTAGCCAGGTCTAAGTATTTAGACCACGTAGATAAGCAAAGTGACTGAACGCAAACCAGAATACAGCCCTTACTGTGACGTGTAGATTGCTCCCTTCAAAAACAACTACAAAAAAAATCTGGTGATGATTTTGTATGACTTGTCTGGAACAGCAAATCTTGATGTTGTGGCAAAATTTTTGTTATTTTGAAACAAACCAAAAAGAAAACAAAAAAAGTTCCTTGGTTCAGATGGTTTTACTAAAACAATATGGAATTGTTCTGTGTCCCATAATGGATTTGTTGGCATTTACATTTTAAAAAAAATTTTAAGTGAGGAGTGGATTATTTAATGAATCATGTGGGGACTGGGGACATTACTCCCCCTTTTATTTTTAAATTTTGTTTGAACTGTTGAAATTGGACCATAACAGTAGAAGGATTTGTCTACCCTCCTTAGTCAACTATCTAGGTGAATTGGGATCACTATTTAAATTATTAGTAGATGTCCTTTAAAAGGGACATAACCATTAAGTACCTTTGAGAATCATTTAAGGATTGTAAACTATACTACGTACCACCACTTGGTTTCAACATTATTTTTAAGAAAGGGGCTCATGCTGCCCAGGTTGGCCTCAAATGAAGCATGATTGCCTTGAACTCCTAATCCTTCTGTTTACTCCCTGAGTGATAGGGTTACAAACATGCACCACACCAGATTTTATGCTATGCTGGGGGTTGATTCATAGATTTGCTCATACTAGGCAAGTAATCTACCTACTGAGCTACATTCCCACTCTCCCACACCATTTTTTAATATGGCCTAATGTTTTCATTGTTGTTGCACTGGTTGGTGAGTGCGTGCGTGTGTGTGTGTGTGGGGGGGTACATGTGGAGATCCAGAAGTTGAGGCGTTTGCTCTCTCAACCTACCATGTGGGTCTGGGCTTCAAAGTACTCAGGCTTGGTGACAAGCACCTTTAGCTACTGAGCTAGGCCAGCAAATTCAGCAAATGACAATATATTATTGGCAATTACACTGAAGGCCCAGTTTGGGGACCCCACTATCTCTGAGTTCTCTATTTTATTTGGAAATAAGAACTGGGAATAGCCAAATACATTGGTAACAAAGGAGGGAGGCATAGGGGTCATGTTTCTATCATCCTCAACATTATCAATTTTGATGCCAGCCTGTTATAAGACTTTGTCTCCAAACAAAATACATACACATTTTTTCAAAGTAATTTTTATGTATCATTCTTTTACATATTAAATGAACAAAAATGAAAGAAAAATTCAGTACCTAAATGACTAGATGCAAAGTATGACATAAATTTTAGGAAAGATATTACAACCAATATTTATTCAAATTTTACTGAATAACTCTAATTCTGGAACTTGATAAAGAAATAGAAAAAAAAAAAAAAACAGGACAATATAGCTCCACAGGAAGACTGCCACACAAACCTGGTGACCAACCTGGATTCAATTCCTGGAACTCACATAATGACGGAAGACGTCAGCTTCACAAAGTTGACATTTAACCACATTCATACCACGGTACAAATGCCCTCTCCCCAGAATAGTAAATTTTTTAAAAAGCAGAAATAAAATGAATAAAAACTAAAGACTTACTAAATAATTTACTTAAAAAGTATAATAATTGCACATATGAAAGCATTGAATGACAAATGTAGAAATATACACATTATAATGTTAAATGGAAAATATAATATAAAATAGTACATATATGATTGACAGTATAGATGATTGCAAAGAGAAGCGAAAACTAGTGAACAGTGAGTGTAGTTAACAGTGTCTCTGGGTGATATTAGCTTTTTTTTCTCTAAAAGGTATTTAATTTCTTGTTTGGAGACCTATTCATTTGTAAAGAATGTAAGAAAAAAAATTAGATCTGACCACATGGTATCAAATCTATACTAACCAAAATAACATGAAGTAGTTATTTATACATGTTATAAAATCTGAGTAATAGAATACTAATGGGCAGTAAAGTTAAAATTTCAACAGATATTAAAATATGAAAATATCACATGAATAAAAATCGAACTGAGAAACATACATAGAAAAAGAATTTAACCACCAAGTTTTAAAAAAAGGTAAAAAGATGCTGATTTTTACACAATTTATCTAAAAGCACAATGCAGTACTTGAGTAAAAATTGGCACAACCTTTTGGGGAAGAATTTGGCAATTATTTGATTAAGTGTTAAAATATTCATAATATTTAATATAATAATTCCATGTAAGTGGATCTATTCTAGTTAAATAACAATTTAACTTTTACTTTTTTATATCACCAACAAAAGTCCATCTCTACTATTATAGACATTTGAGACAACAAATCAATAAAAGGCTTTCAAAAAAATCTGCAGCAAACTCTGGTTGCCTTGAAGTCTGGGACTAGATCATAACTCAAGCAAAAACATGGGTGTGTCCAGCCTGCTGCAGTCAGCCATTTTATGCACTCTGCAAAACAAAAATTACAGAAGAGAACTGTATATAAGGAGAGCCACTCCCAGAGTTCCCAAATTAACTATTTGTCTCCCCTCCTTGTAAGCAACCACTATGAACTGAGGTAAAAGCAATAAACTGTTTCCTTTCTTAATGCTTTGTTTAAAAGTTTATGATTTCAGACAAAAATTGAAGGCACACCCTTAAATGATCAGGAATGTGTAAAAGAACAAGATTATGAAACAATAAAACGTGGAGAAATGCCCAGGCTTAATCATTTAATTGGCTATAAAAACCTTAGACAAATTAACCTGTGTTCCTCAAAGTTCTCATACTATCTATTCCGTAGGATTGTGATTATGAAATAAGTTAAAGCACTATGTAAAACCTTTACACTAACACATTGTGCTAGTAAGTACTATAGACCTGTACATATTAGATAAACAGGCCCAAAGAATGGAATAGGAACAGCAAAAGATTATTAACAGGATTAATAGAAAAGATCTCATTCTAAAATTCTGTACCCTTATATCTAAAAGCTAAACTTTAACAAGTAACTGTAGATTTTCACTAGCAATCCACAAAGGCACAATAGTTCAGCAATCAAACAAAACGAAACAATCAACCTCCAATTTCTCAGCTTTACCTCAGATCAAAACATAAAGTTGTACAGAAGGAAAAAAGAGAAAGGGCATAAGCGCATTTTATCACTGCCTTTACTTTGGGTGCTCTGCCGTGTCAGTAAGGTCATTTGCCTCTTAGGTTTCAATCGCCTATATTTTGTAGGGGAGAAAAAGCCAAGCGTTTTAAGTAGCCATATAGTAGGAGCCATTGTAGTCACTGAGTTCGGCTACTCTGGTGGGGGAAGTCTGAGAACCAAGATCGGCCAGGATCATTCAGGAGTCTTATGAATAGGCTTTGTCTGAATGTTGGGTGGACATTGCGACAGCAACCTTTTACAGCCTTTCTATCTTCTCTACATTTTAAAATTCCCATTGTGAGTCTGGCCAGGGAGAGACTTAGATTCTGGAATGATTTTCACCGGGCTTGACCGCAGCTTCCAAGTCAGACTGACCCCTTTCAAACTAGAAAAGTAGATTTGCCTCTCTGCAGGTCCTCCTAGCCTAAAATGGCGATTTGGACGAAGGACAACTTACCGAAGCCCTCGCTATTTCGCAATCTTAATTAACAGAACGTTGCGCGCCTCCCGCCCTCCTAGCCAACCATTTGGCTACACGCAAGCGCACTTCTCCATCCCCTGCTGAACTCAAATGTTCAGCGCGCTCTCACTTACGCATGCGCACTTTGATTCCCGCGCAGACGCCTTTGCTTGCAATGAGCATGCGTGGTTCCACCTTCTCGCCTCTCTGCCCCACCCTTACTCAAGGGGCCACGATCTCCCGTGCCAGTGAATCGCCACCCCTTATGTCATGCTTTCTCAGAGTACTTGAGCGCCACCACATGGTGCTATGATTCCTCGCTTGGGATCTTAAAAGTTCACGCAAAGCGCGCCTGTCTTTACTAATCTCCCCTTCCGCGCGCGCGCGCGTGTGTCTGTATAGGTATATATTCTGCCGGGTGTATCTGCACATGTTTCTCGCCAAAGTTATGCCCGGGTGACCAAAGGGTATCCTTAGCGACATTACTTAACAGGGTTAATAGGGATAAACTATCTAAATTGCATATGGGAAAAAGGTGTTGTAGGTGACAAAGCATATCCCAAATCTAGATACAATCCGCTAACATACTAAGGGAGAGGCTACAGGGTCCACGGATTCCCTTGAT